GTACTGAAATGGAACTGGGAAATTTACCTGCGAAAAGGGTCGAGTTACCGTTAATACCCTCATAAAAGTGAAAAGCGACTAGCTTTTTCAATATGTTTAAACTAAAACTTTATATTTATTTCAATATTATATTTGTTTTTCATGGATTTATATTATTTTCATACATTATTATGCATATGATATTTCCTTTGTCAGCTAAATTCAAAAATGATATCCATTTTTTTATCAAACTTAAGGTATACGAGATAAATTATAACTTTTTTAAATGTAATTATTTTTTGATAAATTTTAGATATTCATAATCTGGAAATATTAATGAATCTCAATATATATTTTTTAAAGTTGAGTTATTAAAATTACAAATTTTTTAAGCAATAAAACTCGGGTTAAAATTTTAATCCTTCAACAAAGGACCTAGGGATCTATTGTTCAAGGAGGGATTGCAATATAATTTCCGAACTTAACAGAAATTTTCTACAAACTATTATGTTTTTTTTTGCTGTTTTACACGTATATCGTGAGAGACGGTTTGTTGATCTTATATACCTTTAAAACTATTGTTAAAGTACTTTAAAAATGTCTTCTTATGGGTTATCAGGTAGTGGTACTGAAGTGGAACTCAAGCCATGTCTAATTCAGTACCATTCCAGTACCACTCTTTCGGTAGGGTAGTAAAAGCAAAAACATTAAAAAATGACTAAAATCAAAAGAACTATATAAAGTCGCTTGATACTCGTCACTCAGGGGCTTTTGTAGTCGCTGATTAAAAATCCGAAGTCAGTTTTTCAAAATCTAAAATGGCGGATCCAATACGGCCGACAATTTTTTTAAAATACATTGAATTCACTTAAATCTCGTTACTCGGTGGTTTTCAGAGTCACTCATTACGAATTCGATATCAATTTTTGAAAATTCAAAATGGCGTATCCAATATGGCCGACCAATTTTTTTAAAATACATCTAATACTTTTGAATCTCGTTACTCGGGGGTTTTGGGGGACGCTGATTACGAATTCGATAACAGTTTTTCAAAATCTAAAATACGATAGTCTGGCGGAAGAATTTTTAAAAATTATTTTTATTTTACTTGAAACTCGTTACTTGACAACTTTCTAAGCCACGGTGATTAAAAATATGATTTCGGTTTGTATAATAAATCTATTAATATAATAGACAAATAGTTTTTCTTCAAGTTCAGAAAACTAGGGGTTTTTTGGGGTCTCTGATTAAGAATATGAAGACAGATTTTACAAATTCGAAATAAAATATAAGTTTCAAACAAATTCGTATTTGATATTTAATATTTTCATCTACCATATTGGATTTGCCATTAAAAAAAATCAGCAACCCCAAAAATCTTTAAGAAAGTTACGACTTTTTTTTCAAAGTCATATATATTTCGAATTATTGATTAAAGTAGCAAAAAATTAAAATTGCAATTATCTCAAAAATCTAACGTGTAGTGAAATAATGGACTACTAATTCGAATTCAGCATTAAAATTTACCTTAGAAATAGATTTTCGTTGCTCGGGTCCAAAAACCTTGTAAACCTGTGTAATTAAAGATTATTTCAAATAATTGAATTTTAGAAGAACTTTGTTAAAATTATTAGAAAATAATTTACTTGACGAATAATTTTAATTGCGGAAATTTAAAAAATAATTGAATTTTAAAAGAGCTACAATCAAAATTTCAATTTCAAGAGATTTTAAATTTGAAAATTTTTATTTTTTAAAAACCTAATAATTGAATTTTTAGAGAATTTTAATGAAAAATTGTTTTAATTTTATTGAATTTTCAAAGAATTTCATTAAAATAATTGAAAATAATGAATTTTGCAAAGTGTTTTAAAATTTTTTAAAATAATTGAATTTTACATGAGCTAATTTTTTATTTTGTTTTTAATTGAATAAATTAATTAATTTTAAATTTTATTTTGTGATATAAATACAATCAAATTTTGATTTATAATTCATAATTGGAGTATGTGGGAGATTAAAAAAATGTAAAAAATACGGCGTGACAAGTCTTTTTCGATTTATTGAGTAGTTTACTATAGTACAAAAAATTTGGGTTTGTTGTATAGCATAATTTTTAAGGTAAAAGTAAGTAGATAGTAGGATACTATACAAAAAACTCCCCTAGCAGAAATTCAGTCTAGAGCTCAGCTAGTAAAATAGCCAGGTTTTTCCATTTTTGAAACGGAAAAAAAAATGAACAGTGGTTTCAAAAATTCGAGTTATTTTTATTTTAAGTAGCAGTATCATCAGCTTCATGAAATGTATTTGAATTGTTAATCTGCCGAAATGTATACATAATTAAATTAAACTTCATTTTCTGAAAACTGTACATGAAAATGTTATGCTACGTGACTAATTTTTCTATGTCAATATAATTCTAATAATTGAATGTCGAAAAAAAATATATTTTTTAAATTAAAATGTTTAAAAATAATTTTTCTTTTTGTAAGCTATTGTTTTTTTTTTTAAATAATTGGCCGAAAATGAACATCACAAATTCTCGTAAGATTTTTAAACAATTTTTTCAAAAACCTTCATTTTTTTTTTTTTTTTTTTTTTTGCAGATTTATCAGTGTAAATAAATCATTAAAAATTTTTTAATATATTTTTCTCTAATGATTTTATATTTCTTGCCGTTAGTGTACGTATATTATGTGTTTATTAAGATGTCTGTTAATACACTTTTTCGATTTTTTTTATCACCTACTATTTTCTAATCAATGTACAGAAAAAAAGTTTGTACGAATTGGAATCCATTCAATTAATGTTAACATATTTTAGTAAATGATGATGAATTTTTTAAAATAAAGAGCACTGTTATCATTTCGTCCTAATTACCGAGTGTATATTATTAAATATTATTTGAAATTTTTTGCAAATAGAAAAAATTTAAGTGGCACATTGAAAAATATTTTAAATATCATCAATTTTAAATTAAAATATTAGATATAAAAATTATCACATTAAAATCAATTACTGATATTAAATTGTGAGTTTTTTCTTCAAGTATTTATCTAACGTTTATAAAAGTTTTAACAGGGAAGGTTTGATATCAACAATATAGGAAGCACATCAAATGCAATATATAACTAAGAAATTATTCGAATAAAGCTAATTTTTTTTAATTTCTAAAAATAAAAATTCCTCTAAATTTTTGTATTGACGTTCTATATAGGGAATTTCACGTGAGGTTTTCATTGAAAATTTTTATGAAAAAATTCATAATTTTTTGATTTGATTAAAATTATGAAAATTTTGCTTTTTTTAAATTTAATACCATTACGTTATTTTTTACTACAGATTAAAAAAAATGAAGAAAAATCGAACAAATTTTATATTTAATATTATTTTTTATCTGTTACTAGGACAGAGAAAAACGCATTTTAAAAGTATTCGGCTTCTGACAAAGTTAAAATTTAAAAAAAATCATAACTTCAATAATTTTTATCAAATAAATAAATAAAAAATTACATATTTTCTTATTTTTCATAAACATATTGAAAAAAATGTCCTAGTCAAAAAAAAATTTTCAATAAAAATCTCACATAGAATTCCCTATATCCCAAATTGGAAAAATTTAGAAATTTAATGTTCTTGTTAAAGATTTTTTTTTAATTAATTATTTTTCGAGTGGTATTGCTAAATACAAATATATATATAAATTTCATGTATGTTTTATTCTAAATATAAAATACAAATTAAAACAAATTAATTTTTTTCATTAAATGAAAAAAAGCTTTAAAAAAAATAAAAAAATTAAAGTAAAATATTGTAATAAAATTTTTTCAACTTTTTCCTATAAAAAAACATTAAAAACAACATTCTGATTCACAATTAATTTTTGAACAGAACAGTAAAATATTATGATTATAAAATATGTATGCAGTAAATAAAGTTAGTGTATAAAATATAACAAAAGTAAAAAGATTAAAATTTCAGATATATTTTGACAAACTCAACTTAATAAAATAACGTTTCAATAAATGACTGACTTGGAAAATCAATTTATCAGTTAATAACTAAAACTACATTTTTAGGCCTTTAAGATAATTTTGTCCATTTATAAAATAAATCAAATTTTTTTTGCAAAAATTCTGTTAGAGGGAATGGAAATGTAAGTACATTAAAAATAAATTAATTAAAATGTGCTTCCTCGAGAAAATTTGTTTAATTAACGATTTACTGATAATTACTGCTTACTACTATTTAGTAATAATTTAGTAATTTTTAGTAATTTTAATAATATAATAAGTAATAAAAAGTTTTATTTTTAGTGAATTAAACTATACTTATATTTAAAGAGAAAAAATTAATATTTTTATGAAAAGACGTTCCAAGTCACAGATGTCTATTTTTTTAAATTGAAAATAAAAATTTTCAATTTTTTAAGTTGTCCATTTATGAAATCTTCAACATTTAATATATTATATGATTGAAGAAAAATCTCACAAATGAATTTATAAAATTTATTGTGACTCTTTTTAATACTTTAAAATATTAAATTAAAAAAAAGGAATTTCTTATTCCTTACTTTAATTATCTTAGAACACAAATAATAACTACTTCTAAGAGAATTAAATCTAAATATTTAAAACTTTAAACACATTTCTAAATAAAATAAAATTATTTAAGTTGTCTAGCAACATAATAACTAGAAATATTTTTAACAGATTGATTTTAATAGAATCTTCTTTGTAATAAAAAATTTTTTTTTTGTTTTCAAGTTCACTATTATGTCAAAAAAATTAAAATTTTTATCTTAACCCACGAATGGATTTTCGATGATTAAAAACACAAAAAATAATAATAATAAATGATAAAATATTTTAAAATACAATATTATGCAAATAGTTACCGAATTATGCGACGAATTATCAAATTATGTTGCATTGAAAATTAAAATTTTACAATTTTTAATGCTAAAAAATTGAAACTATTTTTGTTAAATAGTAATTTTTAATGCAAATTTTAATTGAATATTTAATTATTTTTTTTGGCGAATTTTCATTTTTCCAGTTGAGATTTTACAGAATTTTAAACACAATTTTTAGGTACCAAATTTTAATTCAGTAAAATTCTTAAAACGCCACGAATTTTTATTTGTCCGAAATTACAAATAATCGAATAAACAATCAACAGAAAAATTTTGTCACGATTTACAAAAATTCGCCAATCACGATTTTCTCTGATAATTTATGATTGATGAATTTTTGAAAATTGCGTCAAAAATCTTTCTGTTTATTGTTTGTTAGGGTATTTGTAATTTTGGACAAAAAAATATTCGATAATCTAAAAAATAAAAATTCGTTTAAAAAAGAAATTCCGTCAAATGATAAATCAAAAAATGAAAATTTATTTAAAAAATTAATATTTAATAAAATTCTTTAAAATGTTTTATTATGCAATATAGAGAACGAAAAATACTTGACGAAATTTTTGTCATCTTATTTTTTTTTTTTTTCCGAATCAATGTGCTCTTTTTATTGAGAAAAAAAATTCAAATCGATTACAATTCAATTGTTAACATTAATTGATTGTTTCGTTAAATTTTATAGAAAATATTCTTCTACATTGATTCTTTAATTGCATCAAAAAATGTCGAAAAAACAATTTTAACGGACACTTTAGTGTTTATACAGCAGAATGTAACAGAACTATTCATTTTTTTTTTTTTTTTTTTTTTGGAATAATTAGTTACGTTTCCACTGTATATATGCACTACATGTTAACATTCTTTAGTATACTATTATGTATATCGAAGTATTTACATTTGTATGTAAGTTTGACATTACACATTTTTTCATTCTGCATTTAAGAAACATGATTACGATTGTTATTAGTCAAAATTCAACTTTTAACTATTAACATTCGTTTTCATTCGTTTCTTTGTAAAAAAAAATCTTTCTATAATTGAGTGGACTCACACATACAAATTCTTTTTTTTTATATAAAAAAGCGTTATCGATAGTTTCAGTCAATCTGAATTCGCTGTAGTACCTACTTTTTTTTCCCATTAATAGCATATTTACAATCACCTACATGTTCTCATCAATATATTCATATAAATTGTTAAAAATATTTTCTGTGATTCTTTGACTTCGTTGAGTGTATCTCTCTCATTTATGGACAAACACTTGCACTCATCTGAGAAAATTTTTTTCTTCTTTTTAATAATTGATCGCAAGTCCATGACCCTGTTCAGGAGTATTGGTTTTTTGCGAGTGAGCAATCTTGTAACAGAATGACGCGCGCTTTTTTGGACGACGAAAAAAAAAAACAATCATCTTTCAATAACAAGCATTTATAATAATTACCTCATTATAATATGCGACTAGTTTAATTTTGACACTGCATATAACCGCTCGTTTTTTTCTCTTCGAGAATACGACGGAATCATAAAATATGGCACTTATGCTGTGTGCTGCTCTAAATCAACGAAGATAAAGAGTGCTTATTTATTATTTTTTTTTTTTTTTTGAAAATAGCGCCATTTGGTTTAAAAAGGCGGTTTTTTTTTAGGCAATTTGAAATTTCTCAAATCAAGAATCATGATTTCGATTTTTGTTGTGACGGTTTCCACTTTTTCGCCTTTTACGTTTGGCGTCACGTGTAAAGGCAACATTACCGGGATCATCGGCGAGTTGGGGATAACGATGAACACTGTGTATGTCAACACCCTCGTAACCATCGACAACGCCATGACTTATTAATTCATCTTTCTCTTCCTTTGACCAATCGCCACGTCCTTGAAATTCGGCAATAACCAATTGTTTTTCAATTTGCCATGCGCGTTCAACGGCGCGTTTATGCGCATGCTTCAATATTCTATGACGTTCTTGTTCAGGATCAGCACCATATTTAATGATAACAGCTGCATCTGAATTAAAGAGCCTTAATTCTTTCCATGTACCCGAACCATGTTCCGTTGTCTCATGTGTTGAAACATTAAACATACTACCTAAACGACGTAATTCCTCCATATCGTCTCTTATTTTAAGTGCATTGTCTTTTATAAAATAAAATACATCCTGATCGTGTATTGTAAAATGAAGTGGCAAAAAATATGAATTATTGAATACTGAAGTAACAACATCGTGAACAACACTATTAACACCATCGACAACATTAACCAATGCACGACCACTTGCACGTGATAATAATATACCTTCACCAAAAACAGCGCGACGATGCGCAACTCTTGGCAATAAATTTCTTGTTTTTGGCTCAAGTTTAAGTAATGGTTTTGGAATAAATCCTAAATCGGCAAATTTATCATGAACACGATTTGCAATACACTGTAATCCAGACATAACACCAAAATCAGGTGTTAATTGTGGTGATGTCACTGTAGCGCTTGGTTGAAATATCATTTGTTTTGTATATTCCGAGCCGAGCATACGATTTGTTTCATAGCCATATAATTTTAACCAACTTGACAATTCTGTCATATATTCAATGTCCTGTTTCAAATTAATTGGATCGTTATTTTTAAAGCGATAAATAAAAATATCCGTTGGTGTTGTTAATTTATTGGCCATTTGCTCCCAAGCTGGTGTCATCCATTGGCCAACAATTGGATCGTACAATCTTTTATTGAGATATAATAATTTTGTATTTGGATCAACGAGACCACCATGAAAATCAATTGGTAGATAAAAATCTGGATTTGTATCACGTATTATTTTACCAAATGGCGTACGACCAATTTCCTTGTAGAGATTGCCATTTATATCGAATAGTGCCATTGGCGAACCATTTTGATCTGTTACGGCATAAAATCGTTGTTCTGATGTCTCGACAGTTATTAGAAAATCACGTGAATCATACAAAAAGCGGAATGTTTTTTGTAATTTTGGATAATGTAAATGTGTTATTAGATCTGGTGTTTTTGGATTTGTGTAGAAAAATTGAGTTATATTTTCTCGATCATCATTCCATGCTATTAATCTTCCACGATCATCGTAAAAGTACCATATTTGGAATTTTTTATGCTCCAATGCGTGAATCAATTGACCTCGCGAATTATATCTGAAACATTTTTTTTAAAACAAAGTTGTATCAAAAATTTGTCATTACAAGTTTAATACAATTAATTCTCTACAAAATAATATTTATTATATATTAAATGATATTTATAAATAATTAAATATTAATAAAAATTATAGTTTATTGGGAATAATTTTAAGTCATTTAATTTTTGTTAACGATTTTCTTAATAAGATAAAGAAATTATTTTATGCTTGCTTTAACAATTAAAATAACAATTTGTTCTATAATCACTCCAAACGCAAGGCAATTATGGAACAATATTTCAGTTTTAACAAAAAAAAAAACTTATTTTGTTAATGAAACTTTTAGGAAATCTTCAGAAGAATGTTCACAATATATTTAAATGGTTAAAAAGAAAATTTGTTTAACAGGGTTGACACAAAAATATTATTTTTATATTTCTTGACTTTTCCCTGATTTTCAGTCAAAATTAAAATTTTTTCCCTGATCCTAACGAAAATATTTCAAAAAGTTTTCAATAACAGGCCTCGGATTGTGCGACTTTTTCAACCTTTTTTTTTTTATTTCTTAAAATTGAATTATTAATATATATATATATACCCAGATAACCAAGCGTACTAATCGTTATTTACGAGTACGAAGTACCAGTATTATACTAGTTTTATACAAGTACAAAATAATTATATATGTCGTACCAGTACGGTACTAGTACAATAAAAGTATGTCGTACTGTTAGAATTGTAAAATATGATTACTCGATAAAAGTATAGTACTAGTACAATACCAGTACGTCGTACTTCTGAAATAAGAAGCACAACATACTCGTACGATACAAGTATAATACTGGTACGTCGTACTGGGAATCTTTGCTGGTAATGCCAACCCAACCTCACTTTCTTGACAATTGTCAAATATGAACGCGTCACTGAAAACGGTGCATTAAATGTTGGTGAAAAAAGTCGTTTATGATGCAGCAAAAGAGTTTTAACGTTTGTAACTTGTGCTTCTGTACTCATCTTGAATATCCGAGATTAAATTTATATTAAATTATCGATCTTTATAAGATTTATATTCTTTTACTTTGACATGGTGCCATGGTGTTATTTCATTGAAAAACATCAAAATCTTTTACATTTATAATGAGAAAAATTCATAAATTCGGTCTTGATCATATTGATATATTTTTAAATTCAATTGTGTGTTATTTCGTTATAGTTTTTCTTATACATATAACATATTTATAGGTTAGGATGTGATAATATGTTTTTCAAAGCAAATTTCAAAGCAATTTATAACATCAAGTTTAAAATTCTTTTGAAATAATGTTTAAATGTAAAGAAATAATCAATTAATATTTGATAAAGTTAAGTAATTAAAATAATATAAAATACCAGATATTTTAAGATAAGTGAGAATACAAGTTACATATATGATGTAAATAAAAAAAATGATTCAATAAAAATGAATTATTATTATTTCAGTTCTCCCACAGATTTTCTTTTGAATAATAAATGAAAATAATGAAAATACTATTGTGGGAAGAGAAAGGGGAGGGTATATAATATTTTATATTGTACATCATACTAGTATTGTACCAGTACAATAACAGTACGTTATACTAAGTCACAAAAGTTTTCAGTACGTCGTACTCGTATAGTACTCGTATTCTACCGATATTGCATACCGGTACGCCGTACTAGTACAGTACCTGGTACCGTGCGAAGGTACATGGCTGGTACAGTACTAGTACGTCTAGTACGTCGTACTAGTATTATACTACTACCGTACTAGTACGTGTGTTATCTGGGTATATATATATCAATTTCAATTGTTTGCAAAATCAATTATTTTCAATAATTTAAAACAAATTCTTTGAAAATTATATGATTTAAAAACAGTTTTCAATTAAAAATTCACTAAAATTCAATTATTGTTTAAAGTTTTTAAAAAAAATTTCACCAATTCAAAATGAAAGTTTCAATTAATAATCTTCTGAAATTAAATTATTATTTCTCAAAATTTTAACTCGAACTCTTCTAAACTGCAATTATTTCTAAATTTTGTATCTAAAATTCTTTGTTGAATAATTAAATTTTAATAATTTTTATAAAGATTTTCGAAAATTCAATTATTTAAAACATTTTTCAATTTTAAATTCTTCAAAGATTAATTATTGTTTAAAGCTTACAAAATATCTACAGAAATTCCAATTTATAAAAGTTTTAATTGAAAATCTCCTGAAATTCAATAAGATCAAAAAATTTTAACAATTGCTCTTCAAAAACTCAATTATTTCTAAAATTTTTAAATTCAATTAATTATTTTTAATAACTTTAATCAAGTTTTACAAAAATTCAATTACATAAAACTTTTTTTAAATTATTAATTCTTTAAAATTAAAGTTTTGTTTATACCTATAATTTTTAAAAAATTTTAATAATTCAAGTTTATTAAAATTTTAATTGAAATTTTCGAAAATTCAATTTTTTAAAACATTTATTAATTAAAAATCCTCTATAATACAATTATTTCTAAAAATGTTATTTAAAATTCTTCGTTAAATTAATTTTTTTAATTATTTTAATACAGTTTTTCAACAATTCAGGGAAATGAAAAGTTTTTTAATTATAAAGACTCTAAAATTCTATTATTCTTTAAAGTTTCAAAAAAAATGTGATCAGTTAAAATTTATAAAAATTTTAATTTAAAATTTTCTGAAAAATAATTATTTCTAAAAAAATTTAAACTCAAATTCTTGCAAATTCAATTAGTAATTGAATAATTAATTGAATGTTAATTTAATTGCAAATTTTTTTCCCAAATTTTTATCTGTATAATTCTTTGTTTAATTTATTATTTTAACAGTTTTAATCCAATTTTTCAAAAATCCAATTACTTAAATCGTTTTTGAATTAATTTTTATATTTAGAACAAAATTATAATTTTTGAAATCTCAAAAAATGCAATTATTTCTAAAAATCCTAACTGTAACTCAATCAAAATTCAATTATTTAGAACATATTTCAGCTGAAAATTCTCTAAAATTTAATTATTGTCTGAAATTTGTAAAAAAAATTTCTTTAATTCAAATTAATAAAAGTTTCAAATTGGAAATCTCATGAAATTCAAATATTTCTAAAATTTTTAAATCATACTATTCCAAATTCAATTATTTTAAAAAATTTAATTAAAAATCTTCTGAAATTCAATTATCTCAGAATTTATCATTTAAAATTAATTTCTTTTCAAGAATATTTTAATCAAATTCTTCGAAAATTTAATTATTTAAAACATTTTTGGAAATTCTGAATTCAAATAATGTGTATAAATCAGAATTGAAAAATTTTCTTTTTTTAAAAAAGTTAACTTTAAATTATTTTTCATTTGTTCTGAAACTGAATTGAAATCCGGAATATTTGTCTCAGTTTAATTCGTTGGTTTAAAAAGAAAAATTCTTGAAAATATTTCTTTAAAACATTCTTATTAAGGAATTAATAAATTTTATTTAATTTTTAATAACAAATTGTTAATAATAATAAAATATTTATCAACTAATTAAATTTATTTATTGAAAATAAAAAAATGGAGTTTTTAGACTTTTTTTGATAATGTAAATCGACTAAAATAACTTTTTTTTTTCTTTCAAAAGTCAATCCGAGGCCTACAATATTATAAAAATGTAAGACAATACACGGTGCGCCAGAAGGAGGTTTAAATAAAAATGAGTTAGCACTTTAAATTCTTTTTGATTATGGTTCTTAAATAAATAAAAACCATTTTTCAATAGGTTTTAAAATCAACTTACGTGCCAAATTTAAAAAAAATTGAGTTTTAAATATATAAAAATAGTGTTTTATGAGGAACCAGAATTTATTTAATGTATACTTATATGCGTATAGATAATAGATGTTTTAGATTTGGGTTCATATAAATTTATTAACATTGAAGTTATTTTCTTGTTTTGTTTTTATATTTATGCATTAAGAGTGTCGAACGGTATCTGAAATTCTTTAGCAAGAAGAGAGTTTTAATTATCGCTCTCAACGTGAAATAGTATTGATTTTAAATTACTTTTTTCTCGAAACAAGAACACTTTTAACAAAATCAGCCAAAATCCTCATCTTATAAATTTCCTAAATCCAAAAGACGGTACGAATCCATAGAAAAACATGGTTGCAAAACAAAAAGTAGAAAAGTAATCTAATAACAGCTGCGACTTTGTGCGCCCTGCATGCTGCTGCCATCTGACGGCGGCAGGAGATAATGAACCTGTCATTATATTACTTTTCGTTTTGCAATCGTGTTTTTGTATGGATTCGCATAATCTTTCGGATTTAGGAAATTTATATAACATAAGAATCTCTAGCTGCTTTTGTAAAAAAGTGTCCGTCTTTCAAGAAGAAAGTATTTTAAAATTAATGTTTATCATTTTCACGTTTAGTGCCGTTTTTATAGGGCGATAATTAAAGCTCTCTTCTTGCCAAAAAATTTCAGAGACCATTCGACTCTCTTAAATAAATTTTGTCCCTCTTAAAATAGTTCTTTTAACATTATAATTTAATTTTTTAAAATCGGAAACAAACACTACAGCTATATAATTATTTATATGTAAAATTAAAACTAAGTAATTAGGTATTTTATCATTTATTACAGTATTTATTAGATTAAATAAATTCTGATTCTCCATAAAATTACTGTTTTTTATATAAAAACTAATTTTTTTTTTTAAATCGGGCACGTAAACTGATTTTAAAAACTATTGAGAAATGTTTTTTATTCATCTAAGAATCATAATCAAAAAGAATTTTTAAGTGCCAATTCATTTTTATTTAAATTAAAAATTTTTTAAATTATAATTTTAGTAGCATTTTTAGAAATTTGATATTTTTCCAATACTTTTCATAAAATTCCCTTACTTTTCCATAAATTTCCCTGTCCCGTGGCAACCCTGTTTAACAATTTAGATTTTTGGTAAATAAAAAAATTGAAAGAAATCGCATTTTTTGTTTCATAATTTCTTCTGGTTGACTGTAGTCTTTGCCTTGCAAATAAATAAATAAAATGAGAATTAATTTTAAGCTTACCTATATTTATGTTCCCCGCGTATTACAACGAATCCTCTATCATCATACAAGTTAAATTCAACATCACCATATTGAACAACACGATCTCCGCTATCATATCCTAAAGTAATTTTTTCATTTTGTTCGGTTACTCCAATAATGTTACCATTTTCATCATATGCATATTGCCAATTATTTTCATTATCAGCAACTTCAAGCACATGTCCATCAGCATTGTAGGTGATTTTTTCAATTTTGGAATATTCATTTTTCTCTAAATAATCTTTACCCAATGTTATTTTTCGCATTTTAATACGATTACGATTATCATAATCCAATTCCATTCGAAATATATCCATTGATCTAACATTCATTACAATTGTTTTGACACGTCCATGATCATCATAATCCGTAATAGTGAAAAATTGTTTACTACTGTCTTGCATAAGTGATCGATTAAAAACATTTCTGTAAATTCTCAAGTCATTAACACTTTCCAAAACTCCTAAATTTTGATTGTATTTAAGTCGTATTGATTGAAGTTGTTTTCCATTTATGTCAACGTCAATTCCAGAAATGCGAGCATTGCCATCGTATTGATAACGATAGTGAGCATTATTTAAACCACTTTTACTATTAAACTTTATTTTTTCATCCTTAACAATACCAGCGTGGTATTTGTATTCAAAACGCATTTCAAAATTTGGTTCATTAACATCAATACTGCGAACCAAACCAGTTGATTCTTGATAGGTATAGTGAATAGAAGAAACACCTGAAAAAAGGGAAAAAAAAGGTATCATTCTAATTTTCAGTTTAATATAAAATTTGTCGTATTAAAAAATTGTCGCAATCGTAAAATCTTAATATAAAGTATGTCTAATTCCAAATTATTGTTATAAATTAAAATTAACGTTCAGCAAATTAGTAATTTATTAGCCTAATATGGTTGATTCTCCAGAAACTAGTCATTTTCGAGGAAGAAATTTTTTTAACTGGAAATTCCATTTGTTTTATTACAGAGTGTCTAACAGCTAGGAAAAAAATTCCCTGACTTTTCCCTGACCTAAATTACACTAAAAAAATTTTATTTTAATCAAATAAAATTTATTTTGATACAATTAAATCATTTACCTGTCTATTATCCACTAAATTCGTATGTATTTCAACCAAATAAATAATGTTTCGTAAAAAATAAAATATTTAAGTGAAATAAATAAACTAATTGGGGACGTATAAATATTCTCAACATTTAATTTAAAAGAATTTTTACGGCGTCGAATCTTAAATTATTCAAATTTTTATTTAGTAAAATTATATAAAGCAGATTTTCTTGAACATCGAATTTCAAATTAATACAATTTCAATTTAACGGAATTTATGTCAAGAAAAATTGGATAAAGAAAAATTTTATTAACAAAATTTTTATTATAGTAAATTTTGATTTATCAAAATATTTACTCAATAGAATTGTCATTGAATAAATTCACAATTAATAAAATTTCTATTTAACAAAATTCTTAATTAACAATTGTTATCCAAGTTTAAAAAATCATTTATTAGATTCAATAAATAGTAGTAAATATAAAATATATCACATGCTTAATAATTGAGTGTGAAGGCCAACTTTTGCTTCCTCGTGGAGGAAGCTTTGTAGTCCTTTCGTTTATAAAACTTTTCAAAGTGGCGGAAACAAATTTTTTTCTTTATAGAAACATGTTATATGAGATCCTGATCAATTGTCCGGATGTATGTATGTGTGTGTGTGTGTGGATCCCTTTTTTGTTTAGAAGATAACTTTAACAGGTTTTAATGGATTTAGATAAAATTTGGTAGTCTCATTTATCATATTAATATCTCAAATCTGACCAATGGATTTTGAAAAATACCCCAAAAAAGAATTTAATCGTCTTTTTCCCAAAAAATTTTTTTTAATCGAAAAAATTTTTAAATAGAAAAGTTTAAGGTTATTTTTAATAAAATCGTATTCCTTACGTCAAGATGAATCGATCGATATATATAAAGTATACATTTGAGGTAAATTTAAAGAATTAATGAAAGTTAAAAATTCAAAAATTCACCTTTTGGCAATAAAATTTTGCTTTCTCCACGAGGAAGCAAATTTTTTTGCTGATCGTAAAGAGGAAGCAAAATGTTCATGTAATGAACATCTGAATTTACAACTTGTTTAATTTGCATTTGCTTTGGGAAAAAAGTAAAAAAAATTTTGAAACTAATAGTTACTTTAATTTATTTATTAAAAATTCCAGAAAATTAAAGGAATTTCCTGACTTTTCCCTGACTTCCCTAACCATTAGACATCCTTTATTAATTTCTATTTTTATTGTCATGAAAAATATTGTTATACTTAAAGAGAACATGCTAAAAAATTATTTTACAGGCATTAAAATCCTAGGTCCACATAGGAATCCACATAGAATTCCATGTAAAATCATATATGAAATTCGGCAACGATTTGGTGTATGATTTCATGTAGGAATTTATGATATTGTTTCTACATTGAAATCTATGTGAATTCTTACATTATTTGCTATAATTTTTCTGGCATATTATTTTTGTCAATTTCCTTTATAATCAATTCACATAAAATCTTATAAAAAATATATCAAATTCTAAAGATTTCCTTATATAAAATCATTGTGATTTTATGAAAATCAGTATTATTCAAGAATAACAAATATTTTTATGATTAAGAGATTTAATTTATCAAAATATTAATTTTTTCCTTTGATACCTAATAATGTAATTAAATTTATTTTATTCTTTATTCTATTTTATACTGAACTTTAACTTTTATAGCGCCTACCTAGATTTAGTTAATATTTTATATTTTGTACTAGCAAAATTAAACGCGCGCAAGCGCGCCAAATTGAGTATTTAATTGTTTGTTATAAAGAAATTAAAGATTAATATTATCAATAATAATTTAATTTATTAGAATATTATTACACGATAAATAATAATAATGAAATTACAGGCCTCGGATTATACGACTTTTTCAGACTTTTTTCAAAATTACGACTTTTATCGACTTATTTTAATAAAATGCGACATTTTTTTTTACATTTGAAAACAAAATGTAAATAAAATACATTTTTTTATTATAAAATGTAGATCTTCTTCAGATTTTCTTCAATTCAATTATTTAACAAATTTTGAACTAAAATGATTCTTCACTAAATTCATTATTTTAAAAAATTTTAATGAAATACATCACAAATTCAATTATATGAAAATTATTTTTCAATTAAAATTTTTATGAAATTTAACAATTGTTTATAATTTAAAAAAAAAAATATCACAATAAAATTGAATTATTTTTGAAAATTTTCATTTCAAAATGAACTAAAATTCAATTATTACCCGAAATTTTAATTCAAAATCAATTAAAAATACAATAATTATCCAAAATTTTTAATTTGAAATTTAATTATTTACCAAGTTTTCAATTTAAAATGAAATAAAATTCAATTATTTTCTAAAATTTCAATTCAAAATTAATTATCCAAATTTTCAATCAAAAATGAACTTAAATTAAATTATTATCCAAAATTTCAATTCAAATTCAATTATTTCCCAAAATTTTCAATTCAGAATGAAATGAAATTCAATTATTTTCCAAATTTAAAATCAAATAAAATTAAATTTCATTATTCTCAAAAATTTGAACTCAAAATTAATTGAATTTTCAATAATTTGAATTTAAAAGCATCTAAAATTTAATTAGTTCTAAAATTTTCCATCGAAAATTTTTTTTTGAAATTTAATAATTTCAATTATAACTCTAAGGAAATTCAATTATTTTTAACTACTTTAATAATATTCTTTGAAATTTCAACTATCTGAAACCATTTTTCAATTAAAAATGATTTTCAAATTATTGTATTTTGTCCTCATTTTCTAATAAATTTTTAGTGAAATCATCTAAAATTTTAATTGCAAAACACTTAAAGTTTCAATTAATTTCAAAAATCTCAAATTTCAATCTTTGAAAATTCAATTAAATTTAAAAAATGTTTTCCAAAAATTGTTTGATAAATTATTTTTAGTGCTGTAAAATTTAATAATTGTTTGAAAATTAACAATATCTTTTGAAATTTAATTATTTCTAAAAATTTCAACTTAGACCCTTCGAAAAGGATTATTATTAAAAAAAAAAATTTTTTTTTAAAATCTGTAAAATATTTTTGTTAAAATAAAAAACAAATTCACTTGTTTTTGGAATATAAATCGACTAAAACGACTTTTTGTGTCTTTAAGTTGATTCGAGGCCTGTGTTTTTAAAAATTAATATTTAATAGGTATTCGTTGGCCCCTGGTACCTTGAAAATTAATTTTTAAAAATAAATTTTTCTCAAATTACTATCTTGTACGAAATTTCCTGGCGCATCTTTTTTCATCTCGTTGGTAAACGTTGTGTACTTCAGCTTCGTGAATTGAATTTTTTGAATTTGGAATTTTAAAGAAACTTATTCCGAAATTTGGAAACACAATTATACAGCTTTGGCAAAAATGAGAAAAAGAATTGTAAAAATTTGACACGTCATAAGATTACTATTCAAAAAAACACGTGAAATCAGAAAAGGCCAACTTCAAGTTAGGACAGAAGGACAGACTAAGCGTTTTATTATTATATAATAATTGTTACTTACGTAACTATTAGAATTTAGGAGTACATTTGTACGAAAGGGCCTGTCCCGTCAATAAATGAAATAAAAATGAAATGAAAATCTTACATACAAGTTTCAATATAGGAAACCATATGGGACCTATAGTCAGACTCATAGATTCGAATTCTTCTTGATTTTAAAATTTTGCGAGGACGAATTTTGAGGTTTTTTGAGGTTATGTCAAATACCTGACGTAAATTTCGACGATAAAAATTGAATATTTTTGAGGAAAAACTATATAAAAATATTATTTGATTTAAATTGAATGAATTTGAATGAATTTCAAATATTCTGTTTTAATACCGATTTTAAACCGAATGCGATTCGATTCTGATAATCTTTGAATAAAAGCAAAATTTTGTCATGTTAATTCATGAAATATGATTAAAAAAAATTATTACTGATAAATTATGTTTAGACTAGGTAAATTATGTAAAAATTGAGTCAAATTAAGCTCTAATTAATTTGTAATTAATGTGTAAAGTGCAGTATTCACCTGTATAATAAATTAGAGCTTAAATTGAACTCAATTCTTGCACAATTAAAGTAAACTAATCACAATTTATCAGTATTATATTTTTTTATCATATTTCATGGATTAGCATCAAAATTTTGCTTTTAATTAAAGTTAAACAAATTCGAACCGCATTTATATTTTGCTAAATTAATACAACTACACTTTGTTTAACCGAAAATATTAATAATTATTGAATTTATTGTAAAATATGTGAAGGCATCGCCATGACGATTCTGTGATTCCCAATGTAAAATTGGTGCTTTAAAAGACGTAAAAACAAAAAAATCAATTATAAAATTAGTTCCTGCCGTAATTAATCCACTTGGAAGGAGTTAATTATTGCTTCTGCTAAAGTATAACTAAGTTTTGTTTTGATTTTTATGAAACAATTCAGTTTTATTAAAAGTCTTCATCATGACGCACAAAACTGTGGACAAAAAAAATCGAAAAAAAGATTTTAAAAGAAGTAAATTTTTTTTAACAAACAATTTTTTTCTGAATTCTACAAACTTGAACATTAAAAAAATGTTAGCAATAATTATTTTTATTATTGTATATTGCTAAAAATAGTTATTTTTGTTTCGTAAATGACGAAAGGCTTCACCATGACGATTTGGCTTTTTAATTTTCATTTTAAAAATAATATTTAATTTTATAAATTACAGTGGCTATATAAAAACCCTAAAGTTAATTTTTCTGTTGGTTTTTTTTAAACTAATCCCTAAGAAAGAAATTATATTAATTAATTTTCAATAAGAATTAAGAAAATGTTTCTTACCAGCAAGTGCAGTTTCGAGCTTTCCATTAACATCATAAACAAAGACAACTTTGCCACTTTGATGAGGATATATTATGGAAAGAATTTGACCATCGTCATTGTATAAAATTTCATAAGGATGTCTATTCATCGGTGAATAATACTGATATTTATAAAATCCAAGCGATGTTTGAAGTGAAAATGCATGTATATGACCTCTTGGAGTTGTGAGTGATTGAAGTGCACCAGCTTCATCGTATTGAAGAAGATAATCACTTCCACGTGGTGTTGTCACCTTTAATGGAAGGCTACTAAATCTATCTTTAAATGCATAATTCATGGACGTTCCATCACTGTATTTAATTTCAAATAATCTTCCATCACGATCAAATCCATAGGTTTCACTAAGATCACCCCATGTCCAACTAATTAATCTACTATTTCTGTCATATTCTAATTCAACACCAGCAAATATACCACCCTTTGGAATCCATTTAATGGGTCTTGCAGTGGTATCATAAGTTACATTAAGCAATTCAACTCTATCATCCATAAATACTGCTACTGTATTTGTTTCTCTATCGTATTCCAATGTTAAAAGTACTTCTCCATTCACCTTTAATTTTCTTCCTACTTGAGCAATAACTTTTGCATTACCACGATGATTATTACCTTGTACTTTTCTTAAAAAGTATCTCCATTCAAATCTATTTGCTAAATCGCCGGCAATTTCAGTTCTTTGCTTCGCTGGAACTGGATAGCTTTCACCTAAAAGTGGTTCAATTTCTGCCATTATTGAATATGGCATTGTATCAGTACTAATTGTATGTGACCATGGTGTATTTCTTTCAACACTTCCATCTGAAAGAATAGTTGTCTTTCGTTCTGCATCACCTATTTTTGTTATTACTGAGGAACCTCTAATTAACATTGATATTGGTTTACGATTATTTTGCACAACTTTAACTGTTGCACCTTTTAAATTAAGATCAAATGTTAAATTAATTATTCTTCCAGTTGGCGTTATTGCATGTGTTAATCTACCAAATTCATCATAATGATAAACATAACTTCTACCTGTACTGTCAAGTTTACTTTTAAGTAAACCAGTTGGCTCATAATAATCAAAAGTCACATTATAATTATCAGGTGTACTAAGCTCATGAAGCATTTTCATTTTAGTCATTCGTAATCTACATTTTTGACCTTTAGTATTTTCAATAGAATTTACAAGTCCTCTATTATCTCTAAGAAGAAATACTTTATTACCAGCGGTGTCTGTAACTGTGTTCAACTTTCCATTACTAGTATTGACATTATATGTGAATAGATAAATGTTTTCGCCGGTGAGAATATTTTTTGTCGCAATATGTTGACCAAATCTATTGAATATGAAAATTTCCTGTGTCTCGGGTGAGTAAATTTCATATTCTTTTGCATTTGTTATCATATTTGCATCAGGTATACTAGCCATGATTGATCGTATTCTATAGTTGGCTTGATCTCCAATGTGAACGATACTGTCTGGTGAGACGGCAACAGAGGAAATTGTATTAAATTTAGCAGTAAATGCTAAATAGTGATCGGCCTCAAAACAATCACAACCTTGCTCCAAACAATTACATTTTGATTCAGCGCCGGCGTAAAGAGAAATTTTCCCATCAGTGCCAATCACTCGAATTCTATTTATCCTTTGTGAATCACTTTCAGCGATGAACAAATCACCAGATGGACCAAAAGCAATGCTTTGTGGCATTACAAGAGTCGCGTGTGTCGCTAATTCTGAATCAAAACTTGTTGAGGGAGAAGAACAATGTAATGGTCTACCGGCAACAACTTTTACTCGACCATCGAGTGCAAGTTGCAAAACCATGTGATCATCAATTATATGTAAAGAATTGTCAAGGGGATTTATAGAAAGTTCAGTGGGCCATCGTAGATGAACTTCTTCTACATTTAGTGTACCTTCACAGGGAATTGGTTTCCAATGTGATTTATGCATATGATTACCAATCACTGTTGTTATTATTCCATCTTTGTCAACCATTCGGATATTTGTACCGTCGGCAAAATAGAGAATATTGTCAGCTGAAACTGCAACACCTTTAGGATAGGCAAGTTTTGCATCACGTGCAAGTGCTCCATCACCGCAATGCGCCTCATCGCCAGGTAAACATCGTTCACCTGATCCAACCACTGTCTCCCAATTAGGATCCGAATTATTATCACCCAATGTATCACGTACACGAATAATTTGATGTGATTCCGGATCAGATATATACAGAGATCCATCCAAAGGACTCAATGCAATGTGATAGCGATATGAGACTCGAGTAGCACTGAAATAAAAATTCAAGAATTAAACACCAAGCAAAATCTTAGAGGATTGTAAAAACCGGATCTAGGTAACCAAAAAAAAAAAAAAAACTTACTTTAGACGTAAAATTGTTTGAACAACTCCATCAACATTAATTTTTCTCACTAAATTAAAATCTCCAACATAAATTGAACCATCGGATGCTGCTGCAAGTGCAACGGGTGCCAATAATCTTTGTTTCGATGCTTGACCATCACAATCGGAACAATCAAGTGGTCGTTGATGTCCATCTCCCATTGTTGTCAATATAACTTTTGGTTTGTGTTTCAAATAAATATTAGAACCATCTCCCTTTTGAAGAATACCCTCGTGAAAATTATATCTATGATGTATATCGAGATTCCAACCACCAATTTCCGATATAGACATATCGTGACCACTTAATTTTGTCGTTTGTACATCCCATATTATGTCTTTACAATCGTTGTATTCATATCCAACTTTAATAACAGCCGTAGTGACACCATAAACACGTTGTCGAAATATATTTAATCTATTCCATGCGTATGTAAACTTTATTATTGGATCGGCTTCAAAAATTTTCTCAAACAAAATTCCCTCAATTGTTATTCGCAAATGAATTAAACTCAATGTTGGCGCTATAACATCAGGTGTTAATTGCAATTGAATTGTTGATAAATAACCAGCGGCTCTTGAACTATGATATACAAGATTTAAACCAGTTCCAGGTATTTGTAAACTTTCCTGTACAACTTGAGATTCTGCAAGTACTGCACTTTTATTCGGACAAGCACCTTGAAATCCATGTTTCCAAGTTGCAAGAATCACTGGTTTCATGACATCATAATCGTGTGCTGCACAAGTATGAGTCATGTATAAAGATGTTTTCTCATCGGATGTACTCATGATAACCTTGTCTATAATGACAACCTATAAAATAATAAAAATAAATAAAGTAAAAAAATCAAATCAAATACATTTCCTAACACAGGCCTACAAATTTTAGGATCCAGAAATAGGAATAGTCATTTCCGATGTAATTTGTCACGTTGAATCAAAAAATGACATAGAAATTGTTCCATCACGTCATTTTTGAAATCCAAAATGGCGGATCAAATATGTCAGACACTTTTATAAAAAATTTACCGGATTCGCTTGACATTTATTACTCGAAGATTTTTGGGGTCGTTGATTACGAATTTGATATCATATTTTTGAATTTTAAAATGTCAGATCCAATATAGCGGACTATTTTAGAAAATTCACCAGATTCGCCTGAAAATAGTTACTCGGTAGTTTTTCCGATCGATGATTACAAATCCGATGTCTTTTTTTTTTAATTTCAAAATGTCGAACAAAACTTTAAGATTTCATTGGATTCGATTGCAAATCGTTACCCGGGGATTTTTGGAATTGCTGATTATGAATTTAAGGTCAGATATTAAAATTAAAAAAAAATCCAATTTCAATTTTAAAAATCAATTAAATTTCATTTGAAATTTGCTCTATTTTAGTTGGACGTTTCTAAGTCATCCATTGTAAATCTAAAGTCAGATATAAAATAAAATAACTGCGCCCTTTGGAATTTTGAAAAACTTTTATAAGATTCGTAATCATCGACACCGAAAACTTCAAAGTAACGCGTTTCAAACGAATTGCATTAAATATTGTAAAAGTCATTTGCCATATTGGATCCGTCATTTTTAATTTTGAAAATTTTACCTTGGACTCGTAATCAGCGTCTCGGAAACCTCCGAGTAAAACGAATTTCAAGTAAATTGGACTGATTTTTACAAAATTAGTTCGCCATATTAGATCCGCCATTTGGAATTTTGAAAATTTTACATCGTATTCGTAATCAGCGACCTTAAAAACCCCTGAGTAACTAGTTCAGTGCAATAGTACTTTGCAATTTTCTTTTTTAGGGATTTTAGGCCATGTAACGTAAAATTCAAATGGCTGTATCTCAGTAAAAAAATATCGAATCGAGCCAAGAAAATTTTGAAAGGGGATTTCTTTTGAAATTTGGACCAATAAAAAAAAATTTTTTTTGTAGATTTTATACTGTCGAATATTTTACAAAAAAGCGGCATTTTTCACGCCTTGAGGATAAAAATATAACTTAAATTCTGACGTAATAGAACAATTTTGCTGTCATTCTTGGATTTAGCGTGACAAATTACATCAAAAATGACTATTCCTATTTCTGGGTCTAACAAAATACAAAATTTTACAGGCCTGTGTAATTATATTGAGCAATTTATTGCGTCAATTACCTCATTCCAAGGAACGTAAACAATGTGACTTTGTGGTTTAAAAGGCGAGCGACCAAATTGTAAAGTTACAGCACCTCCACCATTAACCAAAATATCAAACCATCCATCATCTCTCGTTAAAGTGAATCCTTCTAAAGTTGTTGTGGTGCTAACTCTAACGCCCATCAAGCTCATTCCCAAAGATGTCACCACTTGACCACGTACAACAGCTGATCGACTATTATAAAATACAATTTATAAAATATTTATGATATTAAATATTATGCAGCTTCATTTTATTAATTTATTTTTTTACTACCAAATAAAACCAGAATCTATCGTATCATCTAATTTGAAATTTCGTGTTTAAAATGAAAACGCAAAAATATGAGTTTAATAGTGTTTTAAATAATGAATTTTTTTAAAAATGTAGGAGAGCCTTGTTAAATGGTTTCGATTGATGAAAGTTATTTCAAAATATAACAAATGACCGTATAATGGAATAAATAACTTAATATTGTTTATTAAAATCCATAAGTAATTCAGTAAAAGAAAGTTGTATTTAGCAAATTTATTTGGAATGATAGAGCAAGCTGTCTGCAAGTTCAAATATCTGGATATAGATAGAATATTTATCTATTATATATCTATTAAATATATAGACAAATCAGTCTGAATAAGTTCAGAAATTGTACGAAAATAATCCGTAAATGATCTGTATTAGTCGGCAATTTGTGTGTAACGAATCCGGATTTAGTCAGGTCTCAAATCTTCATTGAAAATCTGTATGTAAAAAAATTTAGTATTAATCCACAACAATGATGATTTTGTACATATAAATTTCGTATTTTTCCGAACTCATTTCGGTTTGAGATGATATACTAGATAAAGACCGGATTGTTGCTGACTAATACCGAATTCCTTCCATACAAACTCCGGATCATTCTGGACTCATTGTAGGTTATGTTTTTTGATCTATATACCTTGAATCGAATTATTAAGGACTAATTTTATATAAGTTTCAGATTATTTCGGACTTATTTTATATTTGTCTTTTCGTCCGCACTAATTTTGGAATATTTCATATCATTTTCAGACTGATTTCGTACAATCTAGATGGATTCAGTCCGTTTAAAAATCTGCATCTGCATGGCAAGGATCGCGAAAGCAAGATGCCAGGGACCTTAACCAACAAAGTTTAAAGCTTGACGGCAGTTTCGAAGTGTGAGAATTAGTCGAGCCAAAGGGTGTGGTTTTTAGTTGGTTGACTAGAACAAGAACGGTCATCCCCACATAACCTCGGAGCACGGACTCCAGGCATCTGTTATGGATTATGCAGATTTTCTACCTCCCTTGTGGAACAAATAAACATTTATTTAATATTTATTAAATATCCCTGTCTATAGATGACTGATAAGAATCTTTTAAATTCTTGGTAGACTTAGTTGTGGTGGCGCGGCTTTTCACTAAAGGACATCCAAAAAAAAACCAATATGTAAGATAAGGAGAAAAATAGATATGAAAAGCAAAAGTTTAAGTAAAAATGTTTACGGTGCAGGGGAAGGTTACCCCGGAGACATAGCTACTGAAAGTGAGCAAGTTGACTTCCTCGAATCGAAATCCAGTGACACCTTGGGTACTGCAGCATCCAATGCCACAAGGCGGATGAACCATGAGGGCACCTAGTTTCTTAATGTTCTTCAGGTCCGCTTGGAAAGAATTCGAAGTAGAAAAGGAAGCGATTCTAGTGTCAGCAGCAAAAGAAGTTTAATTCCGTACGACCTAGACAACGAGACAATCAAAAAACAATGCAGGAAGTATCTAAAACTTAGGCAGGACCAAGCTGAGTGTCTTCAGAGGAACAAACAGAAGATCGCCAAGATGGTGAAGTCTTGCGAGATCCAGAAGAATGTCAACATGACTATTAAGGACAGACTTAAGACTCTTCAGAATCTTATCAGTGAGGCAGAGACAGAGCATATCCTGGCTGATAATGCTGATAGCAACCATGGTGGCGCTATAGGCTGTGCAGAAATAAACCGGGAAGAGCAGAACAGGAAGAAAGAATATCACCATGAGAAGCGGCTTTGGCGCAGAAACGAAAAAGATGCTCTGGCAGTCTAGAGAGGACAGGAAGTAGAAAAGTAACGGTACTAGAATCCAACCAAAGAGGAATAAATTTCGCGGTTGTAGTTACCGAACCAGAGGAGGCGGACCGGCCGAAGAAATTGAGACGCATAAGGATTGGCTTTTTGTGTTTCCCAATGAAAAGAAGGGTAATGGTCGTTCTGTGCCATGGTTACCTGGCGTAAGGTCATATAGGAAGAGTTTTTAGGGCGGCAAACAGATCAACTGCGTGTTTCAAGTACGGTGAAGTCGATCATAAGTTTGCAAACTGCAGTAGAAGCCCAAGCTACTTTTTATGCACAGAAAAGTATGGCATCAATTTTAATCATCGTCACCGAAAAACACGGTTTCACGCACAGGATACATTGATGCTAGGCCGATAGGTTAATTTTCCATAACGTTCACTGGTTAATACGGTGCCTACACTGTGATTTTAGCTGTTACATTGTACACCTGGTTTATAGGTGAAAGAAAGAAAGGCGGCCTCACCTACGAAGACTGAAGCCGAAATGTAATTCCGTACATGAGAAAATTATCCAAAATTAATTATTTGAAACAAATAAATATTTATTTAAAAACAGCCATGAAATAGAACCTACAGAATTTGGATTTAGTTGAGGAATTTGAAACCCGAAATGTCGGTTACCTAAAAACTATTTTGGATGATCAGGATTTCAGTGCCAATTACTATCTTTCTGTCTGATTCGGGATTTATACATTCAGCAATTACTAAGGCAGAACCAGCTCATTAATTTGATGGATGCCAATGGTCTGGAAACCCTGTGACTTAAGTACATAAGTTGAGCCTTATGGGTTATGACCTACCAAATTAGATTCGATTTACAGATTTACAGACCTGGGAGAGATTTATATTAGTTGAATCCCTGGGCACATTGGTATTGTAGACAACGATATTGATGATGATTTGGCAAAAATAGAAGCAGAGTTCTTGGATTCTAACCAATCGGTAATTCGGTATGAGGCTAAAGATACAATAAAACATTCTCATTATTACTGTGGATTGCTCTATTGGTCCTGTGGACCAACAGTGGATCTCTTTAATTAGAAAGTTCTAGTTCTAGAACGATTCAACAATTTCTCGACTTTTTGTCTATAAAGGCAATAAAGATAAAACAGATACGGTGGTAAATCTGAAAAAGTCAATTTCGCAAAACTTTGCCACCGTCAATTCCTAAAATAAGCAATTACAATTTTTCCCAACTGTAAAAATAAAAGTATTTTATTTTAACACTTAAAATTATATTTAAGTAAAAACATTGAACTTTGTTTATTTAAAACATAAAATTAATTAAAACCAATTTACAATGATTTTATAAATTAAATAATCATCTCAATGGAACTTATATTTAACGCAACTCCCCTACAATAATAATCGTTCTGCATTTCCAAAAAGAAATAAATTATTAAAAAAATATTTTTCGCAAAAAATGTATTGAAAATATATTTTGATTAATGGATGAGAAATAGTAATTTGATATAAACTCGTCTTTTCAGTCTTAAAAGTCATGGAAACAATTATGATACAATTATTCACAAGTACGAGCAACACAATTTTCATATGCTTGAAACAAAAATGGGACAAAACACAGCATAGGAATAATAAAATAACTTAACCATGCAACATAATTTTTGTTGAACAGTAAAGAGGAAAGATTTGGATTTTGAACAAAAAAAAAAAAATAAATAAGCCGTTATAGAGAAATTTAGCTAATAAATTTTCTACATATAATAGTTTAAATTTTTGCATATATATCTTATGAAATATTTTCTTTTCCAGTAAAAAAAAGATTTATTGAGCAAGTCATTTGTCTAAATGACTTCAACACTGTTTGTTCAATTATTCAATTGATTATGCCTAATCATTTGATACGTTTTTCCTGGCTAAAAAAGAATTATAAAAATACTTATAATTTTCATAAAGCAACGAGTTTTACGAAATATTAATTTTCTACTATATCAGTTGAAAGGAATTAATTTTATTTTGAGTTTAATATTTACTAAAATCATTATCTTGTTTAAAGTAAAATTTTATATTCTAACACAGTGAAATACTGTACATGTGGACTCTGTCGAAAAGGAATCTTTTTTACCGACTTCTAATATTTACTATTTGAAAATTTATATTTTTGAAGAAGAAAACAGATAATACATATGAAAAGAAATGTAATTTTAATAATTATATTAATTTAAATTTTTTAATCTGTTTCTTTCTTCAAAAATAGAAATGTTCAATTGGTATATATCAAGAGTCGGTAAAGAAGATTACATTTACCTACACAATCATATGTACAGTGTTACACTGTCAGTACAAAAATAATATTTCATAAAACTCGTTGTTTCTGAAAATTACATGTACTTTTATATTTTATTTATCAATATTTATCTATTATTATACATTTTTTAAAAGTTTTTGTAAGATTAAGTAGTTTTTTTAAATTTTTTTAGCCAGGGAAAATATATCGTTTCGACTATTGAGCAAACAGTTTGTTCCATTATCCAAACGGCTGGCTTAATAAATTTTTTTACTGGGTCTCTATTGTAACTAACTTATAAAATTGGAACCAACCAAAGAAATTTTAATTAAAAAAAAAATCTATAATGCAATTTTTAAAAAAAGTATCACCAAGAAAATCCCCATTGGTTATTGCATGAATATATTTAATCAAAATTGAGTGTTTTTTTTTAAATTATTAAAATTATTTTTCTATTTATACACCATTTAGAATTTGTTGTACAAGACAACAGATTTTCGTTGTGAACTGCTTCATCGATTCTTACCTTGTATTGAAGTGGTTCCAGAACACTCTGATTAAGCAGCAAAGACAAAACAGAGCCCAATTAAAACGATGTGTTGAAAATAAATTGACAAGATAGAATTGATACAAAAGAGAAGGTACATTCAAAAAACGTTTCTCATTATATAATATTCATTTTAAACATAATGCATTTGTACATAATAATTTATGTACATACACAATATGTGAATAGTACTCTACTTAAGGTATCAACTATCTCTGTCTTACTATCACAAAAGTTAAGTATGTACAGCTGAAAAAGGTTTTTATGATGAACATGAAATACAGTATTCATACAAGCTTTTATTGGAATGAACAATATTAAAATAAATGCAACAGAGAAATGGACAGACGAAATAGTGATAAAGGATGATGATTGGGAAAGGTGGTGTGAGACATACACTCGCACACACATACGAAACATGTATAAAATTGTGGGGATGTGATTTCACACGGGTCACAACAGCGCAGATGTTATTTATAATCGTCCACGTCTCAGTTTTCTTTTTGTTTTAGTGATATTAATTTAAAGAACGTCAATTAACTTCTTTTAAAGATTTTTCAATATTCTTCTTTTTTTTGAGGGATTTCATTAACAATTCACTTTAGAGTTTGAAAATTTAGCCTTTGGAATTATTTTTCTCTACAATAAACTCAGCTGAGTTTCATGAACTAATTTAAAAAAATCATTAATTTCATTTATTAAATTGTTTAAACTTTCTAATGAAACTATTTTTTTCCTTTATTTTTTTATTATTAATTATTAATACTGTATTATTGAAAGCATTTATCTTTTAAACATTGGCTATTAATTTTCATCCTTCAAATATTAATTGTACTACAATTCCAACAGTAAAGACAAGTAATGTCACTATCAATTTCAATCTAAATAAAATTTACATTTTTAGTTCAAATTAAAAAAATATATTTTAAACAAAAACTGAAATTTATTTGATTTAAAGTGAATCTGGGAAATAATTTTAAATTAGTAAAGAAGTAAAAATTCTTCCTAATTATTAAAATTGTTAAATAAAAAAATAAAATAAATATTTATTAGTTTAGCCTATATATTTGTTGTAAATTGATTTAACAAACATGTTGAAAATACTTACGTTTCATTAAACGTATCTTGACGAGCATAGTTTTGAAGACTACCCTCATCTATAAGAAATTTCATTTTTTCGAAAAAGGAAGCAGTAATAGCTGGTGACTGTTTTCTAAGAAGGACATCAATTGGATTTGGAGCGGAAACACAAAGTTGACTACTACGACAGATGTGATTAGAACAACATTCTGGATCCGCACAGTCAATAAGACCATCTGAAAATTTTTCAAACGTCGTTAAATTCGACATTAATTAAAAATTTTAATCATCCTATAATGAAAGTACTAAATAAAATTAAAAATATTTTCTTTACTGGACGCGTTGGAACTGTGGAAAAGCAATGATTTTATATTGTTAAATAAATGTAGCACATATATAATTATTTTCTAGAGATTTGTTATATCAGTTCTAAAATCTCAAAACTTTTTATAATTTGCGTTGAATTTGGTGCAAAATAAAAATATTTCCATCAAATGCTTACCTTTATCGTTGTCACGACCATCATTACAATTCTGTTCAAGCATAACACTACAATCTTTGCCATCCCAACCATCGTAACATCGACATTCCCATAAAGCGTCTGCGTTCACTTTACATTGTCCATGACCAGAACATGAATAAGGACAACCCTCCATTGTACAGTGTTTACCATTCCATCCTGTTACACAAAGGCATGTGCCATTTTTACATTGACCATGTTCGTTACATCGTGAGTCACATTGCTTAAGATTGCAAAGTTCACCAGACCAGCCGAGTAGACAATCGCAAGCGTTATCCACACAATGACCATGAAGTCCACAATCTAGATCGCACAGTTCTAAAAAAGTACAAATAAATGGTCATTCAAGTCTATGGAAATTGAAAAATAAAACAAACTTCAAGAATCATGTTTTAAGTCAGTGATGCCAGGCTGCACACCAATTCCACTCCCACCATGCCGCCCGTGCGCCTCCCTCCATACGGCCACACATACAAGTATAAACCGTGCGCTTACTCTTGTAGGTGTGCCAATTTTTCGTTTTCATCATATTCGCCCGCTTCAGCTGAGCGATTATGCCTGCTTTTACCGACAGTCGGTTAATTTCACGCGCGAACTTTTGAATTTTTTATAATATAAATATTGTTTTATTAATGTTTTTATAGATATTTATTAATAAATAATTAATAAATATACTATATATATACTATATTATAAATATAATATATTATATATACATAATGTAATATATAAATAGTGTCTGAATCCATTTCAAAACGTACAGGCCGACCACCTTCAGGTTGTAGATTTTTCTGTCGATGAAATATGTTATTCTCAATGAAAAATAAAGAGACACGTATTTTTTTATTTTTCATAAAAATTATGTTTAACGAAGTTATGGTCATTTGAAGTTTGAGTGGTAAAACTCGAAAGAACAATGAAAAAAAATTGTTTCGTCTGTAATTTTTTTTCTAATGAATGCAATCAAATTATTTTTCTTGGATCTTGTAGAGGGTATATTCCTCTTTAAAATCCCATTTGAAATTTGAAAAAAGATTCAAAATTAACAAAACAGGAGATGATTTTCTAAAAATCATTAAAGTCAATTTTCTCAAAAACTTCACTTTTTTTCTCTCTCAAATTTTTACCATAAATTCTTACCAATATGAAGAACCAATACTATGAGTTTCAAGCGGGCTAAACAATCCTGCTAGTAAGGAGAAATTTTTTTCGAAATATTTTTTTACGAAATTTGAAATGGCTGACGTGCAGTTTCAAGAACAAATGAACTAACTGAAATGAGTCATTATATAACCAGTTATAATGTATGTATAGAAAATAACCATAAAATCACTTTTTTCAAACAGGTTCTAAACATCAAAAAATTTATAATTTGACATTTTAAGTATCGTTAAGACCAATAATAATCCCAAATATATAATTAATAAAAAGGTGAAAAAAGAAAAAATATTTTTTATAAATATTGTGATTCTTTCAGTAATATACTCTTGAAATATTTTCCAATTCAAATTATCATTCAAAAATTTTTTAAAAAACTTAAAGTTTTAATTTTCAATTTGGAAATTAATATTTGCAAATTTCATCTTAAAATAAATTGATTAAGTAATAGTTCAAGATAGTTTATTTTATAATAATTCAAATATTAAAAAAATATTTTTTTAAATTATAAAAAGTTAAATGAAACTAAAACTCACTCAAATTAAATCCTGAAACGCTGCAAATTATTATTACATGAAATCAAATACATAAATACTTAGATTAGATAGGAGTGTTCTATTTGTCAAATTACATTTACTCCAACCAATAATTGTTGGTTATAAAATGACTCACTTCAGTTAGTTCATGTGTTCTTGAAACTGCACGTCAGCCATTTCAAATTTCGTAAAAAAAATATTTCGAAAAAAATTTCTCCTTACTACCAGGATTGTTTAGCCCGCTTGAAACTCATAGTATTGGTCTTCATATTGGTAAGAATTTATGGTAAAAATTTGAGAGAAAAAAAAGTGGGGTTTTTGAGAAAAGTGACTTTAATGATTTTTAGAAAATCATCTCCTGTTTTGTTAATTTTGAATCTTTTTTCAAATTTCAAATGGGATTTTAAAGAGGAATATACCCTCTACAAGATCCAAGAAAAATAATTTGATTGCATTCATTAGAAAAAAAATTACAGGCGAAACAATTTTTTTTCATTGTTCTTTCGAATTTTACCACTCAAACTTCAAATGAGCATATTCGTTAAACATAATTTTTATGAAAAATAAAAAAATACGTGTCTCTTTATTTTTCATTTAGAATAACATATTTCATCGATAGAAAAATCTACAACCGGAAGGTGGTCGGCCTGTACGTTTTGAAATGGATTCAGCCTAGTACTGAAAAATAAAATTAATGGTGATAATAATTACTATTAAAATAATTATACCTAATTATAATCACTATAAGTAAAAAAAGGTATTTTTTAAAATCATAAGATTATAATAATGTAGTAGACGATTGTTATTATTATTAGTAACTGAAAAATTTTTAACTTTTTTTATAAAAGTAGTAATAAAAATTTATTTTTTAACATTTAAACATATAATTAAAGTACACTAAAAAAACAAATTTATTGTTTCAAATAATTGATTAGTTGTTTATTATAATGAAAGTGTTTATTTGTATTGAATAATAAATATTATTTTAGCGAATTAAATTGTACTTCTTTCAAATACGGAAATTATTGGCTCAAATATAATTTATTTTATTCTAACAATAATTATTTTGTTTAAATAAATAAGTATATATATTGAACTTTCCAAAGCAAACTTCTAAAAATTATTTTAGAGAAATATTGGCTGTGAAAAGTACATTTTATTTTTTCTAGTCTTGAAAACATTTAAAAGATACAATTTTTCAGATTTTGGGGATATAACAATAACTTTGTACTTTTTACAGCCAATATTTTAAAAAATATATTTTTGTACTGATAGTGATTATAATTAGATATAATTAATTTAATAGTAATTATTATCACCATTAATTTTATTTTTCAGTACTATTTATATATTACATTATGTATATGTAATATATTATATTTATAATATAGTATATATATATAGTATATTTATTAATTATTTATTAATAAATATCTATAAAAACATTAATAAAAGTATATTTATATTATAAAAAATTCAAAAATTTGCGCGTGAAATTAACCGGCTGTCGGTAAAAACAGGCATAATCGCTCAGCTGATGCGGGCGAATATGAGGAATAAGAAAAATAGGCACACCTACAAGAGTAAGCGCACGGTTTATACTTGTGTGTGTGGCCATATGGAGGGAGGCGCACGTGCGGCATGTTGGGAGTGGAATTGGTGTGCAGCCTGGCATCACTGTTTTAAGTTGATATGAAAATTAATACATTTTAAATAGAAAAATGGTTGCACAACATGGCAGATTGTATTAAGCGAATGGGATGAAAAAGGACTTAGAATTTAATATATTAATGAGTTATAGTTATCCGCTACCAAAAGTTTTATAAATTCTTGGTTTTTCTTGGTGGTGGTGGTGCTAAAAGCGGAAGGTCCGCCTTCCGCCCGATTCACTTCGATGTGGATGATGAGGCGATTCTCGAGAAGACTGTTTAAAGCTTAGAAAGGAGGAGGCAAAGTGTCTCATTAAGATTGAGAAGGAGGTTGAAAAGATGTTGAAGTCGTGCGACAATCAGAGGAATGTAAATACGACGGTGAAGGATGGTTTCAAAATCATCCAGGTCCTCCTAAGTAAAGCAAAGATTATTCATGAAAAGGCTCATAAGTCGGATTATGACTTAAAAACGACTCTCGGTAACGCAGAGGACAACCGCGAAGAGAGAAAGAAAAGACGAGGGCGTCATTTGAGACAGGTTGCCAATGATACCCGGTAAAGAGGAAGAAGCTCTAAACACAAACCGAATTTTCAAAGAAAATTACAAAAGCGGAGAAAATGGTAACGGATGTTACAAAGCCAAAGAGTTAGAGAAAAGAAGAAAAGGAAACAAGAGAATCGATCATGGTCGTCCGAGTGGCTGCTGGGAAGTCGTATGCTGACGTTCTGAGCAAACTTACCAAAAAAGAAGATCTCATTAGAATCGCAGGCGATTCCAATAAGGAGGCTTTCGCAGCAAATGTGGATAAGGTACATTCGAAAAGTTACGTTTAAGATTCGCGACTTAGATTGCCTTACTCAGGAAGAAGAAGTGTAACAAAAGTTGCAAGAAGTGCTCGAAGAGCCAGGAAACAGAAAAGTGACGGTTCTAGAACCCAACAAGATAGAGATGAAGCTCGCAGTTGTTGTCACCTATGAAGAATAGGCGGACAGGCTGGAGCATTTGGGGCGCTTAAAGATAGGTTAAAGATAGATCAGCTGCGTGTTTTAGTTGCGGTGAAGCTGATCACAAGATCGCAGAATGCAAGAGAAGCCAAATCTTCTTCTTATGCTACGAGAAATATGGTGGTAAGGTGAATAACAACCATATCGCCGGTACAGGTGTTTGCAAGGGCAAGGATAGCGAAAGCGAGATCCCAGGGACCTTCACCAACGAAGTTTAAAGCTTGACGGTAGTTCCGTAGTGTGAGAATTAGTCGAGCCAAAGGGTGTGGTTTTTATTGAGTCGACTAGACCAAGACCAGTCATCTCCACATAACCTCGGAGCACGGACTCCAGGTATCTGCCATGGATACCAAGAGTTATGCAGATTTTCCACCTCCCTCGGAAAAAAATAGTTATTTAATATTTATTAATATCCCTATCTATGGATGTCTGATAAGAATCTTTTAAATTCATGGTAGACCTAGTCGTGGTGGCGGGGCTCCTCACTAAAGGACACCCTAAAGAACTAATATGCAAGGTAAGGAAAAAATAGATATGAGAAGCAAAGGTTTAAGTAAAGATGTTGACGGTGTAGGGGAAGAATACCATATAGCCAGAGTTGCTGGAAGTGAGCAAGTTAGCTTCCTAGAACCAAAATCCACTGACACTAGTGCTGCAGTACTAGACACCAGGGTGCAGCAGCATCCAATGCCACAAGGAGGATGAACCATAAGGGTACCCAGTTTCTTGAGGTCTGCTTGGAAAGAATTCGAAGTAGATGAGAAAGCGCTTCAAGCATTTCTAGTGTTAGCACCAAAGAAGTTTAATTCCGTCCGACCTAGACAACGAGACAATCAAAAAACAATGTAGGAAGTATCTAAAACTTAGGCAGGACCAAGCTGAGTGTCTTCAGAGTAACAAACAGGAGATCGCCAAGATGGTGAATTCTTGCAAGATTCAGAAGAATTTCAACATGACTATTAAGTACGGACTTAAGACTTTTCAGAATCTTATCAGTGAGGCAGAGACAAACCATACCCTAGTTGATAATGCAGATAGCAATCTTGGTGGCGCTATAGGCTGTGCAGAAGTAAACCGGAAAGAGCAGAACAGGAAGAAAGAACGTATCCATGAGAAGCGGCTTCGGCGCAGAAACGAAAAAGATGCTCTGCCAGTCTAGAAATGACAGGAAGCAGGAAAGTGACGATCATAGAATTCAAACAATGTGGAATAAATTTCGCGGTTGTAGTTACCGATTCAGAGGAGGTGTACAGGCTGGAGAAATTGGGACGCATAAGGATTGACTTTATATATTGCCCAATAAAAAGAAGAGTAATGGTCGTTTGGTGCTATCGATGCCTACGTACGGCCACATAAGAAGTGTTTGTAAGGCAGCAAACAGGTCGACTGCGTGTTTCAAGTAAGGTGATGTCGATCATAAGTTTGCAAACCACACTAGAAGCCCAAGCTGCTTCTTATGTAGAGAAAAGTATGGTATCAGTTTTCATTCATTTTACATATTATTTCTACTCACTATAAATGTGTGACTTATTCGTCGCACATTTATAGTTTGTCATCCGTAAATTAATTACTACACTAATGAATTTGAATTCTCATATCACAGGAACCATTCAACGAATATCTTTTAGGAATTTACACAGCATTTCTCACTCTATAGTTTGCTGTGTTTCACTAAAATAAAAATATCTTGAAGATTGTTGTAATTTTCAACTAGGTAAACAAGATAGTTTCTTTTAATTAAATTAAATTTTTATTTAAAAATATTATTATTTTTACCGAACAATCAAATTTTAACTTTAATTCTACCGAAATAAACGGAGTCTTTAAAATATTTTTGGAGTCCAATGTATATCTATTATAGATTTTTAATTATTATTTAATAAAGTTTAATTGTTTAAATTCAATGCCTTTGAGCTACGCTGATTTGATTAAAAAATAATCAATTCTTGATAATAGACTCAATACTCAATTCATCATACAGTAAAAAAATTAAGATACATTAGTCAAGAGTAATCTTATTAGATTGAAATTAGTATAAAGTACGTAGGTTTGTAATCGATTTAGAATCCGTTATTTCGATAGAAAATGAAATTATATTAACACAAAATATAGTAGTATAATTTTTTAACTTACCTTTTGAGCAGTCATCTCCAGAATAATTTGGTTCACAAAGACAAGTTTGTGTTTCCAAATCAAAATTACCGTGTCCGCTACAATCTGGCAAACACTGTAAAGCTTCCTTGTCCATTTGGCTACAAGCAGGACCTTTCCAGCCTTTTTTACATATACAAGATCCTTCAGCGCAAAAACCATGTCCTGAACAAGTTGGATGAGGGCAGTCTATTGTTTCACAGAATTTCCCTTTATATCCTCTTACACAATTACATTTTCCATTAATACAATGACCATGTCCATTACAGTCAGGAACTTCACATTCATCATGGCGAAGGGAACATTCCTTTCCCTTCCAACCTGGATTACACTGACATTCGCCATTGATATATTCACCTCGTTGACTGCAGAGAACCGGGCAAACACTTTCACTACAATCTTCACCTCCAAAACCTGGATTGCATTGACAGTGCCCTAATAAACATTCTCCTTTACCACTGCAACCATTCGGACAGTTATGTGTCATATCTTCAGCTATCACAGCAATAAACGACACTTCTTGAGGATCTCCATCGTCATTGTATAATGAAAGAAACCAGTGTCCAGGTTCCATGTAATGTGTTACTTCCTTCTTCATTGAGGGCTTTTGAATAATAAATTAATTTTTAGAAAATCAAAAAAAGAATAAGATACAATTAATCTTTGAGATTTGTTCAATTCACAAATCGTTTATTAATATTTATGTAACAGATATGTGGAAGTGTTATTTTTGTTCATTCAAAACTCATACATATTTTATGTATTATTTAATATATAAATAACACCAAATTAAATAAATTAATAGTTAACTTATTTTTATTAAGGGTAAAACAACATTAGGAGGTTATAAAAATTAATTTTTGTATTGCGCGGCAGTTGAGATGAAGCACTCGTTTTTTTTACTTATGTAGCCTTGTAGAGGACTTATTTTATGGTGCTGGAATTGCTACTGACCTCTATATACCTCTGGATAGGTAATGTTGTGGGAGGAACATGAGACATAGCAGCCATCTTGGATTGTAATATAAGTACAAATTGTGGAGCGCAAGTCATGTGGTTAGAGTTTTTACTTAAAAATTATTCAAGGTTGTGTTCAAACCGTTTCGAAGAAAATTGTTTTAATATATGTTCGAAAGTAACTTTAGAACCAAGAAGTATTTCTTTACTTTAAGGAGTCTAATATATGTTGAGGTACACAGGTCTTCATTTATACAACTTGGTAAAATGTTGCAGTTGTAAAATTATTTACATTTTTATGTAATTATACATATTTAATTAATTCATATTTATTTATTGTCAAACAATATTTAAATAACAATAATATTTTAATTTATTATAAGTTTTTGTTATGTGTACCCATACAGCACCCAAAATCCCCTGAAACTTGACAGAGCATCACACGGCAAGGTTAGGAAACTTCAGTGGCAAGGTTCATACAAGTTTGTGTCGATGTTTAAATGTCCACATGAAAAGAATATTTACACGGAACTTTGAGGAAATATTACACTATAAATATTCACGTGCAATGTTCAGTCAATATTGAAATTACATTTTCGCCTAGTTATAAAAATTTCATTTACTAATATAATAAGTATAGATGAATATTGACACAACATTGACTGAACATTGCACGTAAATATTTATAGTGTAATATTTCCTCAAAGTTTCGTGTGAATATTCTTTTCATGTGGACATTTAAACATCGACACAAACTTGTATGAACCTTGCCACTGAAGTTTCCCAACCTCGCCATGTGAGGTGTCAAGTTTCAGGGAATTTTAGGTGCCGTGTGGGTATAGATAGTTTTCAAATTATATTTAAACTATAACCATTTTGATATAATTTTTAGGCTAAAATAATTTTCTTTATACATCTAATAAATAATTAATCAAGATTTTTGGACAAATATGCAATTCGATTTGCGCGCCATAATTTAGACCTACTTTTAATACATACAAAGATGGCCGCCAGGCTTTCAACATATCCCACGTTAAAATGGGTTTAAAAACTTACAAACCTTGTTCAAAACAGCAATAAATTAATGTAGAAATGTCATTAAATTCTAATTAATACTTCCCACAAAAAATCTTAAAAATCCATAAAAATTTGCCTCTTAATGTAGTTTTCCTCTTTTAACGGCAGAGTTATGAAAAAAGTTTATTTTCCATGATAAATTCTAAACTTTAAATGAATTTTGGCTCATATTCATTAACTTGGAAAATTTTTATAAAAAATTCTGTTATAAATTACAACATTTTAATAATTGAACAAATCGTAAAGATTTCCTGTAATTTATTAACCCTTTAAGAGGTAAATTTAGTCTTAAATAATAACAGTTTTTTCTATTATAAAAGAAACTAGATAATATTTATAAACGTTTAGATATAAAATATAATTAAATCTGATTCCAAATTAAGAATGTTTTATTCTTTCTGGAAAAATTTTTACCTTGTTAAATGCAGTTATTTTATTAGAAAATAAGGTTTATACCTTCAAAACATAATTTCAATTTTTCTTGTTATTAGGTTAGTCGAAGTTATCACTTGATGAATAATATATTGAGGAAGTAGAGAATCTAATCTGTACCGCTTTCAGTTTTATATCTCCTCTGATATAAATTAAATTACTAGACAAAAAGTATAAGTTGCATAAGTGTGTGTGTGTGTGTGTGTATGTATGTATGTGTGTGAATATAATACTCTAATATATTATAAATAGTAAAATTTCATTAGGCCTTCTTGACCAAAAGAAGCGGGCGTTAAAGTACTTTAACGCCCGCTTGCCTAACCCCGAGCGACAATGAGATACTTTGGGCCCGCTTTAAGTGCCCGAAATGATATACTTTTCGGGCAGGTAGGACAAAAAGAAATACGTGTAATAAGTGAGTCCATGATGCTAAATGGGGATTTACTTCTGCGTAATCGGGACGAAGTTTTTCTATTCAATGGTGCGTTATGCTTATACAAATTTTCAAAAATGTAAAAAAAAACAACTACATGGAAATACTTAAGCGTGTCAGATATTAATAGTTTTGATATTTCAACGTGTCTCTGATACCAACAGGTATGTTCATCTGCCGGTTTGCGTGATGCTGGTGACAATCTGGAGGGATACAAAATAGAAAAAAAAATTTGGTTCCAGCGCGTCAGATATTTAGGAAGGATGTTAAATGAACCCTAAAAATGATCCCATTCAAAAGACTGAGGTTTCGAAAGTGATGCAAGCTCGTAGAGAATTTTTGAAAATGCAAAAAAATCGTCATCTTGAAATACTGGAGCGTGTCAGATTTTTGTACAGATGATTTAGCTTGATGCTGTAGTCATGATAGTCCAAAATCTGACGATTATTTTAAGGAGTATTGTTAATCTGACAGCTGTTTTGTGATCAGCTGTATAATGGTGTCATGGAGACGGAGAGCAGTGTCAGGAATCGGGATTGTGCGAGAGAGTCAGAAACAGGGAAAAAGTGAAATGGAAGGTGAGGTACAGAGTGGGGAATGCGTGTTGTACTCCAGTTGCGCGCTCTACTCTCAATAGACGATTTTCATTACTTTGCCTTTTGGAAATCGTCTGATTATATTTCATTCATGATTCATGTGTTTTTTCCTTCAAATTAAAAAAATTTAACTGCGCTCGAAAATGTCAAGACAATGTTATTTGCAAATTTGTAATCCTTCCGCTCCCTTACGTTACGTTCAAATCGTCATATTTTTTTAATGTACATTTTTTAGTTAGTAATTAACCCACCTTACTTTAATCTGACGCGCTTTAATATCTCCAAACATCAATTTTTTTTACTAATCTGATGGACTATCCTAAATGCACGTCTATATAAAAAGAGTTAATACTTAGAAGAGGTACTCAACAACATGCAACATCCCCTGTGTTCATCTGCCGCGCTCGAGTTAATACCAAAGAAACATTAGGCTCCCCTATCATAATTGATAAGTTTAATGTAAAAATCATAAAGAACTGCGTAACAAAAAATTGTAAAAATTATATTCATCGAAAAAGGTATAGAGTTCACATACAATCAATTAAACATTTGTTTTATTTTAATGTATACAAATTTTTTTAATGAAAAATGATGTTCTTACGTTCATAGATTAACCGGACAATAATATTCTCTACTTCCTCAATAATTATCAAATTAATTTAGAGAGTTAATGGCAATTGGAGTTAGTAGTAAATTTTTTGGAGACAAAAATCAACTACAAAAAAAATTTCCTTAGTATTAACTCCATTTGCTTCAACTCCAAAAGGATAGAAACTTTATAGAATCCAATTGGCAATTGAAATCTAACTTTTTTCTACATTGTAAGGATATGTAACAAAAGTTGTTAATTGTTTAAAGTAATTTTAGAAATAAAAGCTTCTAATATTATACTCACATGAGATGCTCGAGTAGTACGAGCTTTAAATCCAGTCAACACTTCAAGAAGATCGTATTGCGTATGCGTTGGTAGAGCATTTCTCCTTGCATAAACACCTATACTAGCACCACGTGGAATATTGTAGTCGAATCGAACGTACGCTGCTTCTGATTGGTAAAATTGCATATTCCAGTAACTGTAGGGTGCAATTTGCTTGTTGAGACGCTGCCCAATTCTGATTTGAGCAAAAGTTGTAGCATCAGGTGGAAATGATCTTGCAGGAAAAGTTTTTCCTCCTATTCATAAAGTAAGTATGTAAAGTATTAAGTTATTAAAAAGTCAATATTTTTTTAATATTAAGACCGTACTCAAAAAATTAGAACAGGATTTGAACCCTCATTTGAAAATGTTTTTAAAGACCAAAATAAATTATTCAGCTTTTTGTTAAAAAATTCTATATCTGGAACTTTGTGTTTTCAATATTCTTTTATAATTACGCCCTTTATTTGCCAAATACAGAATTAATTTAAACGATACAAAATTATTAAATTTTTTTTTAAACGTTCACTATATATTTCGGATAGATGGAACTGGCTCCTTTCACATTACATTGGATTTCTAATTTCGCTCGTAATCGAAAAAATTCAGCACTTTTGTTTTATGTGGCATTTAGTGAGTGAGATAATCTGCCCTTGACTGAATGCGGTAACAAGAGATGGTGGTTTATAGCAAGGTTGCTGTGTAATCAATAAGAAAACACCTCCCTAAACATTTTAAAAAAGCGATTTTGTTTCTATTTCGTACAGGGGAACAGATAGGGAAAATACCTTATATTGGCGATTCAAACAGCTACACTAGCGCCACAGTTGAACTAATTTAGGCGTGACTCGCTCTGTAGCACTCCATGTGTTTTAAATTATTTTTTTTTATTTAACGCTTAAAAATAATTTTACAAACGCAATAAAAATATCAGAATAATTAAATAATTTGAAATAAACTGTCAAAACAGAGACTGCTTTAGAGCGAGTCACGCCTAAATTAGTTCAACTGTGGCGCTAGTGTAGCTGTTTGAATCGCCAATATCAAATATAACAAACATATTAAAAGAAAATTAATGCTAGCTCGATTTAATAAGGAAAGAACGGAGAGGCGTGGGGTAGGAAAATTACCAAAGTCTATTCCCACACAGCATCGAAAGTTTCCTAAAGCTGTATTAAAGTTGTAGTGCCACTTTGTCAAATTTTAGTGGCAAAGCTTAATACAGGTTAAGTAAATGTGTAAATGTCCGCATTTGAGTAAACGTTTAGCGTGAAAGTTGCCTAAAGATGTAAATTAAATCTTCAGTACATGTTTAGCTTAAAAGTTGTCTGAAAATTTAAATTAAATCTTTGGCAAAGTTTTAACGCGAAAGTTGCCTGAAGATTTAAATTAAATCTTTAGTACAAGTTTAGCTTAAAATAAGTTGCTAGAGAATTTAAATTAAATCTTTGGTAAATGTTCAGTACAAAAATTGAATAAAGAAAAATATTTATTATTTACAAATAATATATTTTGTTAAATTCTTATATTTATGTTTATTAAATTGTTAAATTTATATATATATTTTTTTTCTTATTGAATTTTCAGCGGAAATAACTTTTCTTTTTTTTTTAAAAAAAAAGGAATTATATAGAAAAAATATTAATTGTAAATTATGCAGTCAATTATAATAAATAACTATTTAGAAATGGAATAAGTAATTGGAACTTCAAAATTAAATGAACACAAATATATTTATTGATATAAAAATTATTTGACAAAATAGAATAGTTAACACGCGCCTATTCTTAAATTTAGAATCCTTTGTAATAATATCTGAAAAAACAAATGCTCTTGTTATTAATTTCGAAAATTAGAATTTTTTGTTTTGAAAGCCTATATTTCAAATATTTTTCTAAAATAAAAAATATTTGTTTTAAAATAAATTTTATCTCTATACCTTTTTTCAATTTTTGTACTGAACATTTAACAAAGATTTAATTTAAATACTCTGGCAACTTATTTTAAGCTAAACTTGTACTAAAGATTTAATTTAAATCTTCAGGCAACTTTCGCGTTAAACCTTTACCAAAGATTTAATTTTAATTTTTAGGCAACTTTTAAGCTAAACCTGTACTAAAGATTTAATTTAAATCTTCAGGCAACTTTCGCGTTAAAACTTTACCAAAGATTTCATTTAAATTTTCAGGCAACTTTTAAGCTAAACATGTACTAAAGATTTAATTTACATCTTTAGGCAACTTTCACGCTAAACGTTTACTCAAATTCGGACATTTACATATTTACTTAACCTGTATTAAGCTTTGCCACTAAAATTTGCCAAAGTGGCACTACAACTTTAATACAGCTTTAGGAAACTTTCGATGCTGTGTGGGTTTAAATTTGGACAAAAATCAATGGTTTGAATACAATATTTAGAATTTAGAAAGTCGAAAATCTGACAAATAATAATTCCAAAAAAAGAGAGACTCGCCGTTAATTCTACGCCGGCCTTTTAAAGAATCTCGGCCTGACATCACAGAATTTTACAAAATTGCACTTGATTTATTAATTCAAATTTTTTTTTTTTATTACAAACACGTTCTGTGCACATCAAAATTTAGATTTTAACCGTGCGTTGTGCTGTAGTACATGATGTACGCGACGTCTATAATGAATATGGCTGCCTCTTATTGTTTTGACAGAAAGAAAATAATACAAGGTCTTTGTCTTTCTGGCACTCTTGAATAATCGGGAATCACTTCTAATTATATGTGATCGAAAGATATTTCCTTGTGGAGACGGGACATTTAATCGTCTTTGATATTTTAAGTCGTCTCAATAATTGTATCGTATAGTAAATGCAATTTTAAACAAAGTGAAGCAAAAATAAACCGAGAGTTATAGAACTTATAAATCAAACGAATTTTTTGTCGATGCTCTGACGAATTAGTGGTTTTGACCCCAAGTTTATAAAAAAAATTAAATAAAATGAAGTGAATAAGCTGGGAAGGCTTGATTCCCGTTTTGAAGTATCCTTTTCTTTAACAATTATCAATTTATACACTATTTTCAATTAAACGAATTAGACGTTCTATTAAAAACGTATTCGAACAATTAGTCCAATCTGTTGAAATTTGAAATCAAAATAATAGATTCATTCAACCGAGGTCCACACTGAAAAAGTCTTAAGCGATCAGCAGTTCCAACAGTGGAAATGCAGTAGCTCTTTGCTTTGTACCTCTATGCTAAATGTTGGGCGAGCAGATGTTCCACGTTATTGTTATTAAGATTTGGCGATGCTGCAGCATCAGACTTGGGCACTCAGAGCACCCAAGTTGGGAAACAGTTAGCCCCACAATGAAGTTGTGCAGAATCTCTTTATTTGGTGCTTCTCATTCATGCGTTGGGAATTCTAAACGCCCAAGACTTTTTCAGTGCAATCTGTTTTTTCTCGGTGACGCGCTTTAAAGAAAGGGACTTAAGAAGCAGGTGATGGCTGCGAAAAGAGGAGACCTGAGCAAAATCGGAGGCGACTCGAACAAGAACGTCTTCACCGTCGAGGTTGACAAAGCAGTGAATGGCATGGGTAAGGTGGATCAAAGGGTGACACTGGAGATCCGCGACTTGAATTGTCTTACCGGCAAAGTAGAGGTCCAGGAAGCCCTGAAAAATACTCAAGAAGCCAGAAAACAGAAAGATGACAATCTTAGGACCCAATCGGATAGGATTGAAACTCGCAGTTGTAGTTAAGAACCTAGAAGATGTGGACAGCTTGGAAGAATTGGGATTATAAAGCTGAGAGTTTCCATAGTGCAATAGCATCTCAAAGAGTTTATTATGAAAAGAGCAGTCTGGTGACAAGGCGAACATTAGCCACGTCGCAGGCAACGGGGGATGCAGAGTCTTCTCATCAGTCCTTGAGAAGGCGAAGAAGCCTCTAGCAAAATCAAGACATAAATGGGCAAAGGCATGGTTCCTCAACCGAGATCACAGGGACTTTTATCTACGAAGTTTAAAGCCAGACGGTATTGCCGTAATATGAGGATCAGTGCAGCCCGAGGGATAGATTTTTAGAGGGTCAACCACACTGAAAAAATGTTGATTTCTCTGCCATCTCAGTCCTCTTAGCGATGCAACTCTTTTCTTTGGGTAGATTGCTATCTCATTTTTGGAACGTTGTTTTGCCAAAAGTGATAGCAGCGATTCTGATAATTAAATAGTTGCTGGCTTTTGACATAAGACGGTAGTTATTCCAATAAGCGGATTAGAAGCTACACTCGCTTTATGATATAGAAATTTGATTATTATATAATGATAAATTATATCCAATCGATCCCAACGGGTACTTCCATTAAACCCATAAATAAATTAGAAGCATAAATATATTTATGGCGAGTAACAAGAATCTCCATTGTACCACCATCTGGTTCCTTCTTTCGAATTTCGAATTTAATTAGTAAAATTTAGTAAGCTTGTTTATGGTATTAAAATTTTTAACTAAACACATGAATTTTAGAAATACCCATACAATTATTATTACAAATTTTTATTTCAATAATAATTAATAAAAAAATTTGAATTAATTTGAAGGTATTTTTTAAAACTGTCTTATGTTAAAATATTTTAATTTTTATAAAATATAACTTCCACGATACTTTCACGGTATGGCACGCTAAGGTGATATTTTCCCCATATTTTCCATTATAGAAGCTTTTTTTAATTCACGCATAAAAAGGTCAGTTCCAAGATGTATTATTGTAAAATATATGAATTTATTGATTTAAAATTATATTTTGGTCTTCTCTTGTTCATAATGATTTAAAAATAAATACAACCCTAACAATACCGGAAATATCTGGTGAGTGACACGATTTTTTTAAAAATATTTTCATAAATAAATATTAAATTTTATTGTCTTATTATTTTCGATGAAAATAAAAATAAATTTTAATAAGATACATAAACGTGCAAAAAAGCTGTTAAATAAATGCAGAATAATGTTCAAAAAGCAGAAATAAGCACAAGAGATAAAAACTATTATAATGTTAAGTAAAAATATAACAAAATAGAAAAACGATTTTGAAAAATATAAAATGTAAGTATAGGTAAGTCTATCTATATTCTAATACGTTCGATTTGGGTTCATTAAATATTTAAAGCTAAAATTTCCTTCGAATTCTGGGTTCAGCAAAAAACCAAATCTGGCTTTTTTTGAAAGTATTTTATCTAAAAATTTCATACATTTTGATTTTTTTAAATTTGTCTTCCGATTCGG